AGGGTTAAAAAGAAACTATGGACAATACTTGATAAATACTTGACGACAACTACTTAGTAAATAGTTCAATAGAATAATATTGTATTGACAATGTAAATATAGTGCACAACATCTGTTATGTAATAGTATATTAACCTGACATATAAATGTAATTGTAGTAAACGCACGACGACCAGGCCGGATATTCTAACTTGTTAACGTTTGGCCACAACATCTGTCATGTAGTAGTACCGGTAGTAACGTTATGTCTATCTGAATTGCAACTGACACTGTTAACTGTTCCGAATTGTTTATGTTATTGTTGTGAGGGCTAGCCCTTTATAATAGCCTCCGGCTAGTTGGGCAGTCCTGGCTGCATACATATGTGTTATCAGCCTAATAAATCAAATCAAATCAAACTATACTATTCTGTATTTTACAGAACACATAAAAACATGCAGTATTGACAAAATTTTAATGTACGGCAAGGATTATGTCGGCAAGGATTATGTCTCGGTTGCGTGTTAATCTCACCTATCGCCTTGTTGATGATGGCGTCCTTGTCCTGCGGCGAAGTAAGCACCGTAGTGTGGTGAGCTGGTCCCGCAGGCCGATGTTGAAGGTGTAGTTTTTCTTGTTCCCTTCTCGGGCCCATGCAGGTGCGCTCCTTCGTGCTGGGTGTCTGTCGGCAAGCCCGCACCTCCGACTGCAACGCCTCCAGTCTCTGGTCCACGGCGGCCTGTTTTTGCTCCATCCAAAACAGAACCGCCATGATGGAGTCTGTGTTCTCTGGCGGGGTGGATAGTCGGGAGGGGCCGGCCTGGGCTGGTTGAGCCGGTGGGGTCCTAAAGAAGCGACCGTCGAGGGTCGTACTAGCCGTCAGGCCGGCGGGATGAGGGGTAAAGCGTCAGGGTCGGTACCCATGCCAGTTGAAAGCGTGGAAGAAGACGGGCGTGGGGCGGACGGCGTGTCATCGACTGGCGGCGTCTGTGTGGCCGAAGCCCGGGAGGAGCGCCTACGGGTTTTAGGCAAGGCGGCGGTCAGCGTAAGAAGCCTCACCAGAGATATAGACTCGAGCTTAACACAAGGGACAAAGTCCACGGAGCGAAGTACACACTCAACCGCTCACTATGAAGTGGCGACGACGAATGAGGATGAGTTGGAGGGTAGGTAGGGGGTAGGAAGTGAGGACCAATAGGAGAGGGTTACGGATGGGGGAACATCCGCCCAATTTGTGAGCCGACATGTAACGTGATAACCTGACTTCTATAGACTGAAGAATGTAACCTGTAGTAGAAGAATGTAGACTGTAGTAGTGAAACATGTTTATTGTTACAAGTTTGGGCGTTAGTAATACTCTAAATAGATCTTCATACACATGAACTCTGATACACGTGTACAGTTGGGTTTTATTGAGATACAAAATCAACTTCCATACATATTGATTTCAATTGAACTGGTACTTATTAAAGACGTACATACAGTTATATAAAATGGATGCAAAAACAGTTCAGTAAATATAGCAGAAAACATTTGACAAATACTGAAATAGAGTGCCAGCTTGGCAAAATGAACATACTGTTTACATAAAAACAGCAAAAAAAAATTTGTCGTAGTCAATATCCTCCCCCCCCCAGTATTGTCCAGTATTGTGCAGCCATCAGCTATATCCAGGTTGACGTCACTTTAGCCTTCTATTTGCGTCCGATGCAGTCTCATACCGGAGTTATTGGTGCCTCTATCGCTGCCACAGGTGCGTTGAAGTAGAAAAAGCCCTGGAGGAGAAAATTATATCACCGTTATTATGACGTCCATGTCAACAATGTTAATCAGAATGGCCGAATTTCATTCTGATGAGTCATTGTCCATCACAAATATCACAAATATCAATGGAGAGAGGAAATGCTTTTTCGGCAACTTTAAAGTAGTTCAGTGGTATCTTGGCCTTCCACTGACAAAATAAGCTAGAAACTGGACCAAAAATTGTGTCAATTAATAACAATGTGTAACCCAATACAAGCTCACGAGTTCATAGTGACCTATAGCATGGTACTGCCTAGGACTAAACACATTAACATTAATCTCACGTTGGGATCCGCCTCCAGTAGTTTCCTGACAGTTGTGGCGTCCGGCCTGGTCTTCTCGTTAAATTTCCAGCACTTCAGCATCAGCTGGTATCTGGGAGTGAATAGAATCATTATTCATCCAGCCTTTATGAAGTGTTACTTTTCAACCAAAATATGATGTCAGAATTGGGTCAAAGGTCCCCATAAGTCGATACCGCCCGCCGTCTTGTGCTGGACTTGTATTTGACAAAACTTACCCTAACTTAAATGATTTTAGCGTTGTGTGGATGTATTTTTTTCTCAAGAAACATCCCAGGCTTACCTTTCTTCTGTACACAGTTGAGGCATGGGGAGTCTGAAGTGGTTTTGCAGCGCATCATATATTCTGTCTGCCCCCTCCATCCCAGGGTACGGCGTGCGGCCCAGCTGCGCCACTTCCCACAACAGAACCCCGAAGGACCAGCTGGAAGTGAATATTTCACAGTGTTCAAGATGGGAAAGATTTCACAGTACTGTAGTTATTAAATCGAGAGGACTATGAACGTTTGTTTCCACTAAAATGTTAGTGTCTTCTTGGCAAGGTTGAAAACTCACACGTCACTCTTGTGTGTGAACCTAGCCTCGTTCTTCAGGCCCTCCGGCGCCATCCACTTCAGCGGCAACAGGTCGTTGCCCTTGAGGAACAAGAAAGAACAGCTGCTTCAAGTTCTATGCAAAGCCGGCTGTGAAAAGACTACGGGATCTGTAGATGACTAGAATCCTCTTCTATTTTAAACTTATTTTACTTTTTCTTACTCAATAATACTGCGCCAGCTCCCTATGTAAGATCGTGCTATTAGTCCGACCTACCCTGTCCTGCCGATGGTACCCCACAGCGTACATGTCCCGGGACCTACCCTGTCCTGCCGATGGTACCCCACAGCGTACATGTCCCGGGACCTACCCTGTCCTGCCGATGGTACCAAACAGCGTACTTGTCCTGGGACCTACCCCGTCCTGCCGATGGTACCCCATAGCGTACATGTCCCGGGCCAGCCCGAAGTCCGCGATCTTGGCGGTTCCCTTCCAGGATCAGGATGTTCCGGGCCGCGATGTCTCGGTGGACCAGCTGGACACAAGCAAAGATGAGCAATTCAGTTACCAAATATGTTTTTTTAATCAGCTTTTAGCTTTGATTACCTTAAAACACAATAGAAAACTTTCATCTGCTGTAGAAAATTGCAAGCCTGTAAGTCTAAACGATCCCCTAATAGGTAACGGTTAAGCCAGGAATGGGATATCTAAGTAAGAGAAGGCATTCCAGGGAGGTAGTGGAGTCTGTCACATGGTTCCTGAAGCTAAGACGTGGAATAAAAAGCTCACAACTTGCACTGAATCTCCCGTTTTTTTTCAATTAGAAAAAATTCCAACAAACACATCTAATCTCAAAAAGGAAATCCCTTGATTTCCGTGGTGGTAAACATCACTTCAAATATTACTTCATGTCTTGGGCGCGGAATTGGAAGGGAAAGATCGAGGGACAGTTGATTTCCTTACCCTCATGGTCGCCAGGTGCTCCAGTCCGCAGCAGACCTCCACCATCATGTTCTCGAAGATGTGCCGTTTGTTGACCAGAACGGTCCTGTTGAGTTTGGACTCCGCACGTAACGTCCACAGCAGGTGAAGGAGACTCCCGTGTTCGGCATATTCAAGCACTAGTTGAAGCGGGCCTGGAAAAAATATTTCAATATGGACTATGGAATCTTCTTCCTCACTGCCACAACAGCCTTACCTGAACATCTACATGAAGTGATGACTTGATTTTCGGGGCAAAAGTTAATTTCAAAAGGAAATAAACCAACCGACAAACATCGATATCCATGAGCCACAAAGATTCTGAACTAACCGTCTCTAAAACAGATGCCTTTCAGCCGGATGATGTTGTCATGGTTACCGCACAACAACATGATGCAGGTTTCCCGCAGAAGGGCCTGTCTGGCCGGGGAGTCATCATCGTCTGGACAAACATTTACATAGTCAGGTTTTACATCATATAGTCATGTACGCGTATTCTTTATTAAGCCACACCGACTTAATTTTATGGATGACATCCTCTGAAAACTCCCACGCGCGGGCGAATAGAAAAAAATTCCGGCCAAAAATAAAAATGCTACTAAACGACGGGAATACAAGGCTGGTATTGTGAATTCGCGGCAGTATACATAGCAACGTATACGACAAGCCGACACAAGCTGGCTTTTTGCGGAATTTATGAATCGGCACTGTACGTATATACTGAGTTCTTGAGTCGTGGAGCTCCGGTAGCCTGGGTGCCTGGCTCCGTATTGTCGATAACTACTATGGACTACTCAGACCTAGAGCCAGGCCAGAGCCTCGGTGGACGTGATCTTTTTTTTTTTAGAACAAGCGAAAATCAATGCGCGCGCGGATGCCATCCATAGAATTAAGTCAGTGTGACCTTATACAATACAAAGTATGATCACACTAGCTAGATAAGGAGTAAAAATTCAAACAAAAATTTACCTTTGAGTTTCTTGACAGCCACTACCGCATCGTCATCCTCCAGTTGTGTCAACGTTGCCTTGACGACATGTCCAAAAGCGCCCTCTCCCAGGAGCTGTCCGCCCTGCAGCCTGCTCCTGTCGATCTCCCTTTCCTTCAGCAGCTCCATGTCGATACTGCCTGACGAGGAGCCTGCTGCAGGCGGCATCAGGGCCTGGGGAGAAGGTGGGGGTTCAGTCAGGGATATTCAGTTCTGGCTTCTAGCAAGAATTATAGCAGCTTCATATATTTCACTATCCAGATAGTCTCCATCAGAATAGCAATGCATGTTCAAAAACAGTAAAAATTCAGCCATATAGCTAGATGGCGAGGGGTGTTCGGCTCCCGAAGAATTCATTTGTCCGAGAGAGAAATGAAAAACCTAACGGCCTCTAATTTTGCCGAAGTGTACTGCCCTAACCTGTTAAAAAGTCCATATTGGAGCTAATTACGTACCTTGAGGTCCTGTTCGAGCTGGAAGACCTCCGGATCGTCGATGTTTCCGACCCGCAGCCTGTTGTTGTGCCTGTAGAGCAGGAAGATGGCGCCGAGTAGGAGGAGAATCAGCGCGCCTGCCGACAGACTGGTGGCCAGGAGGACGGCCTGGGAGCCTGGAGGGTCTAAAACATGTACATGTAGATATCTTTAATTTTCAGCTGAAGTACGTAATAGGTATTTGTATTGGTAAAGGGGTCGGATGTCAATCTATCTGTCTAACAGATGTTTACATTTTCGTCAGGAAAGTAGTGTACAAAATGACTCACTTGGACACCCGTCACCATAACAGACACAGCCCTGGAGCCGTTCACAGGTCTCCTGTTGTGTACAGTTGCAGACTCGGTCACACAGCGGGCCCCAGTAATTCTCTTCACACACTGGAATGTGTTAACATAATATCCTATCATTGCCATATTTTATATGTATATGTATATAGTGAATGTGTAAGTGTGTGCGTGCCCAACTCAGGCCTAAGGCCACGTATTGGACTCTTGTTCCCCTTTTTCTTAATATTCATTGTACAAAATTAGCGGTAAGTTGATTGAAGCATAAAACCAGTACCAAGAAAAGTCCATACCTATCTGTATGTCCACCATGTCTCTGTACGTGTCTCCTGTGGTAAGACCCTCACAGGTCACGTGACCCTCGTGCTCAGGTGCCAGGGAGTTGATGTACAGAACAGAAGAGCTGTGGAGGGAGGAGAAAAGTTGAGCTTCTGAAGTTTATAGAAAGTAATGTGTGTGGCTGGCAAACCAATCAATAAAGACGCCTGGATGTCTAACCTTCATCCATAAATCAATAAAGGTCTCAGAGTAAACTTATTTCTTTTTTGTGCACTATTTTTGATTATTAAGAGGAACAAATTCAACATTTTTTACACATTCATTATGTCAGTCAGGTAACGTTACGAATACGTGACGTAAGTAATACATCAACGGTGTCGGAGTGACAAGGGCGATCGAACACAGTCCAATTCCTGTACATGTTATAGCCAGCGCCAACAGTATACTAGTATACTAGTTTTCTATCACATTACGTAATAAGATTGTGATAAGGACAATTTCAAGAGAGAAACCTTCTAAATTTGCTAACTTTTTGCTGTTTGAAACATTAAGCTGGTCAACAGAAATGCCACTCTCAAAGAACCACTTGATGTCAGTGACGTCAAGCTTGTAAGCCGTGCATGTAAGCTGCAGTTCCTGTCCGATCCGCAAGTCTTTTAGCTCTCTGGCCGAAGGACAGATGTGCATTTCTGGGTGATCTTGTGGATGACAAAACGTTTAAATTACGTTAGGACAAGACAGATTCATATCGTTACAGTTAGACTAATACATAACATATAATATAATACCAAAATAATATAATATAATATAATACATAATGTATAATACAAAACTCGGGAAATCGTTACATGTCAGTGAACTGTGTAATTCATTTGCCACCTTAGATAAATGTTGCGATTTTTACCGAGCTTCTTGAGTAGTGCCCACCTGTGATGCAGTTCTTCCCCGTCCAGCCAGGGGCGCACCTGCACGCACCGTTGAAGCTGTGACATGCTGCTCCGTTATAACACTGGCAGCGCTCCGCACAGAACCGCCCGAACCGCCCGATGGGACATGCTAAAAACAGCAGGGATCGCTTGGATGTATTTTTATCTTTCTTTCTATACAGATATCACGTTTCTAGTATTCCAGACTTTATTTATAGTCAAAATGGATACATGCAGT